AGATCGATAGTGAGAACGATAGTGAGACCGATCGAGTGAGACGTTGGTTCCTCCCCCCCGAACCTCCTTATCACCCGAAGCGTGGTCGTATAGGTATGCATGTATGTATGTATGTATTTGCACATATATGTATGTATATATGTATATGTATATGTATATGTATGTATATATATATATACATAAATATGTGTGTATATATATACACATATTGGGAGGGGGGCGGGGGGGCCCGGAGTGCACTGATTTTGTCTTCGACCGTTTTGGACCCGGTGGGGGTGCCAGATCGCGTCAAATAGGGGAAGGGGGGCGACGACAGGCGGCAGGCTTTCAAATTGCTCCCAGGCGGCCCGAGGTCGCCGAACTATGGGTCCAAGCCGCCCAAGATGCCTTCAAGGCGGCCCAGGAGGCGACTCTTTTAGGCCTCTTGGGAGCCTTTTGGCGCCTTTTGCGGGCCTCTTGTGCACCCTTGGGGCCTCCTGGGTGCCTTTGGGCCACTCTGGGGATCTCCTGGGGGCCTCTTGGGGCGGAAGAATCGGATTTTCGGTTCGTGTTCTGGCCCCTTTTGGGGCCGTCTTGGGGCCCTCTTGGGCCGTCTTGGGCTCCCCATGGGCCATCTTGGGGCCCTCCTTGGCTGTGCTGAGGCCATCTTGGAGGCCTCTTGGGCCGCCTTGTGGCGATTTTTGGGGCTTCTTGGGCCGTCTCCGAGCGTCGGGAAGCCGAAAAGACACGAACGCCAACCCCCTCGAAGACATAAGGGACATCAAGGTGTGTTGCCTCTTGGGGCCTGCTTGGGAGGCACCTTGGAGGCCTCTTGGGCCGTCTTGGAGGCCTCTTTGGCCGTGTGGGGGCCACTGTGAGCGTCTTAGGGCGATCGTTAGTCGACTCAGGGCCTTCGGGCTGTCTTTGGGGCGTATTGGGGCCCGTCGGCCCGTCGCGGGGCCCTCTTGGGCCCAAAAGTGTAGTGCGACAAGCCGCGGGGCAGCGCAGGGGGCACGCGCCAAGCTTCCGTGGATTTGGGAATTTGGGGCCGGGGCCTCAAAGACCCCCCAGGACTGAGGACTGAGGCCCCAGGGATTGGGCAGAGGACGTCAGGACACGCCCCCTCCGTGTCCAGAGGCACTGTGTGGGTCGGTTTGTTGGTTCGTTTTTGTATGCCTACATAGACATAGACATAGACATAGACATAGACATAGACATAGACATAGACCTATACATATACAGTTGTACATGTGTGGATGTACATGTGAATGCATATGTATGGACATGCATGTAGGGAGCAGATGTACATGTGTACATGTGTGTACATATATGGGTGTGAATACTATATATACATATGAACATGTAAATGTACTTGTGTACATCTATTGGTGTGTATATATCAGAGTGAGGGGCCGAACGGTCATTCACTGTCCCTGGGTGCGTGGCTGAAGTGGAATTCCGCGGTGCGGATTCTCGTTGTTGTTGTTGTTGTTTGTTGTTGTTGTTTGTTGTTGTTTGTTGTTGTTGTTTGATGTCGTCGTCCCACCCGCAACCCACCCCGCGACCCACCCGCGACCCGCCCCGCGACCCACCCCGCGACCCACCCGCGACCCACCCGCGACCCACCCGCGACCCCACCCGCGACCCACCCCGCGACCCACCCCGCGACCAACCCCGCGACCCACCCCGCGACCCACCCCGCGACCCGCCCGCGGCCCACCCCGCGACCCACCCGCGACGCCCGCGGCCCACCCCGCGACCCACCCGCGACCACCCGCGACCCCACCCGAGACACCGCGACCCACCCGCGACCTACCCCGCGACCCACCCGGGACCCAACCGCGACCCAAACCACGTTCAAGGTACAAACCACCATTTTCGGCGCCTGCGGTGGGATTTTTTGCATTCCTTCCAGGGTGAGAGCCCGCGACCCACCCCGTGACCAACTCGCGACCAACCCGCGACCCAAACCACGCTCAGGGTACAAAAGGTAAACCACAATTTTTGGAGACGCGGCGGGCTTTTTTTGCAGTCCTTCCTGGTGGAGTGACCGGGCCTGCCGGCCGCCACCAACTCGCGACCAACCCGCGACCCAAACCACGTTCAGGGTACAAACCACATTTTTCGGCGCCTGCGGCGGGCTTTTTTTGCATTCTTTCCAGGTGGAGCCCGCGACCCACCCCGTGACCAACTCGCGACCAACCCGCGACCCAAACCACGTTCAGGGTACAAACCACATTGTTCGGCGCCTGCGGCGGGCATCTTTTGCATTCGTTTCAGGTGGAGAGCCCGCGGCCCATCCGCGACCACGTTCAGGGTACAAACTACATTTTTCGGCGCCTGCGGCGGGCATCTTTTGCATTCGTTCCCGGTGGAGAACCCGCGGCCCACCCGCGACCCAAACCACGTTCAGTGTACAAACCAATTTTTTTGGCGCCTGCGGCGGGCTGCTTTTGCATTCCTTCCAGGTGGAGGTGGAGAGCCCGCGACCCACCCGCGACCTAACCCACGTTCACTGAACAAACCAATGC